GTACCTGTCATGTCTGTGGCACCAGCAGCTATCTTGGGTGGTGCAGATAGTGCACAGTGTGAGAATTGTGAATACCGGGAAGAGCTGTTAGTATATAATAAATGCTTCATATAAAATCTATAAAACTGACTCTCCAGGAAGATTTGTCACGGGTCTCATGTGTTTTGTGCCCAGTTAGGAAAGGCTTGCTGAAACAAGTAAGCCGCAGAAGGGGCCTGGAAGAGTTATCTCTGGATTGGCTGCGGGGACCTGAGGACATTTGCTCCAACTATGAAGCAGGGCAATTCTTGGGCAAAGCAACTCAGACATTGAAAGTGGGGCTTTGAACATACATTCTAGAATACTCTTCGCCTACTTTTTTCTGCCCAAGTTCCCCCATAGCCACCACCATCCCCACCACCACCACTACCCCCGCCTTCCCCAGAAGCTGACTCTTTGCCAGACAAAGGTAGGAACAAGAAGGATTTTCTCACCTGGCTCTCCAAGCAGCCTTGCGAAGGGTGGCCGGGAATCCCCGAGGTGTGGAGCAGAGTAAGTGAGAGAAGCCCAGTGGGAGAGACCCCAGCCCTGCTGCTCCGTGAGCCAGACAACCCCCTCCAACCCATACTCAGGTTCCCCATCTTGAAAATGGGGTATTAATACCAGCTTTCCCTCCCTCCCAGGGATGTGAGGAGTCATCCTTCTCTGAGCTGGGAGGCAGGCAGGAGGCAGGGGCGAGGCAAGTGTGCAACCTGGCTGCGTGGGCTAGTCTCAGTCACAGGAAGCAAAAAGCAATGAATGACAGATGTCTTGGTGGTCAGGAGCCCCGGCTCAGGTGTCTGATAGACCTGGATTCAACAGTGCAACCCACCACTCACATGCCTTGTGATCTTCCTGCACCTTGAACTTTCTCATCTGTAAACTGCAGATAGGGGTTGATGCTACCGGGTGTGAACCACCCAGGGCAAGTCTGGGTGCTAGGGGGACTGGCCGCCATGTCAGTGCTCCAATGTGGGGGCTAAGGCCATGAGACTTCCAAGTTGGGTTCTCTGATTCCTCAGGACTGTGGGCTACCCAGTGACCTTTAATAAGTTCCTTTCCTGCTTAAGTCACCCACAGCCCATTTCTGTAATGGTGACCACAAACCTAGGGTGTCGACAAACCTCCACTGACTCCCCAGGCTCACTGCCGACACACCCTTTTAAGGCTGTTCTCTGAACTGCTGACCTTCACCTACCCCAAGTTGCCTGTGTGCAGATGCTCCTCCCGTACCTCTGGTCCACTTTCACCAGGGAGTTACAAAATGAGACCCAGGCCCAGATCCAGGGTGGCACAAGCCACATTAATGGGAAGGCACAGCTTTGCAAGAGGAAAGCAGGCAAGTTCTGAGTCTGAACTCCAGTTCCACAACTTACATGTGTGTTCTTGGGCCCACAGCATACCTCTGAGCCTTCGTTTCCTTATCTGTCACAACACCAACAGCTTTAAAGGAGGTGAGGGATGGAAAGCCCCATGCCTAGCACATTGTAGGCTTTGGATTTGAGAAGAAACTGGGTCAGGAAGGAGTGAAACAGTACTGCTTACGTTGTTGTTTGTGTCAGAATCACCTGGAGAGGTAAGTTGGGTGCAAGAAGGCTGAGTGGGCCCCTGGGGTCTGTATTTTTAACAAATGTCCATTGCTTAGCGGTCTCTGCTGCAGGTGGCTGAGGCCACTGTACTTGGAGAAGTATAGGATCTGAGGGAAAGAACGCAGGAGGTGAGGGCCTAGGTGGCTGGGCCATCTCGGCAGTGGGGCCTCTCAGGATGTTAGCTTCTCTCTTTCTGGAAGCTTCTACAATGACCGTCTCAGGCAGAGTCTCATCTAAACTTATGGTCCAGAAAGGATGCAGGCAGTTTCTGTATGTTCGATCTTCGATCACATTCAGAAGAGTACTGGATACATTTTTCTCACTTGGATTATGTAATAATCCAATAACGTGGATGGATATATAACAGTTCAAATTTGGTTAGCACTTCCCATGAGTTAGGCATTAAGGACTTTATCTGATAAATACGAAGTGAAATCATTCTCCCCATCTCACAGGTGTTGAAACAAACCCAGAGAGGTGGGATCATTTGCCCAAGGTCACAGGCCTGAGTAGAGATTTGAGCCCAGACAGGCTGGGATTCCACAGCCCGTGCAATAAGCTGTGTCTCCTTCAGGAAGTCACTTTGTGGCGGCTTTACAGGACAGTCTCTTGCCGGTGCCTGTGCGTCCAGTCAAGGGGCTGAGTGGGAATAAGAGGAGTAAAAGTGTGAGGGAGGGAGTGTAGGACATCGGCCCGCTGGGCCTCCGACCCACCAAGGCCTTCAGCTACCAGCTGGGAAGCCTCTGAGATGGGAGACTCCTGGAGCCCAGGCAGCTCCCTTCAGTTCACAGACAAGGCCTTATCACTTGGGGCTGTGTGGACTTGGGTAAGGGGCTTCACCTCTGAATCTGGGGCTGCTGTGAACAGAGGAGATCAGGTTACGCCCCATACCCAGCACGGCTCCCAGCATTGAGGAGCCCAGCAAATGGTGCTGCTCCTGTAACATTTGATGGTGAGGATACAGCTGTGGTGACATAACCTGGGTTTTGCCACTCCATTCAGGTTCCACAGAGGGTAGGGATGCACAGCTGGTGCTTCTTTCTGCCCAGCAACCAACTATTCCCCGTTCTTCAGGTAAGAGCATTTTCACTTGAACCAAATAACTTGTATTTCTCTAACACAGGTGGACTGATTTCCATGAACAAGTCAGAAACTAACACTTATTGAGTGCCAGCTGTGTCCTAGGCACTGTAATGACTAATTCATTTAATCTTCAGGACAAGCTTGTAAAGCAGGTACCAATATTCCCATTTGTAGATGTGGAAACTATAGCTCAGAGAGGTTTAGTAACTGCAGCGTCACAGATCTGGGACTCGGATCCGATGTCCAAGCTCAACCCATCTTTTAAGTAAGTGAATCATTAAGTTTATAACTGTGATTGGTTTTTCTAGGAGGGACGTTTATTCAGTCAATACATACTGAGAGCCTACTGTGTGTCTGGCATGGTGCTAGGTCCTAGGGATAAGAACTCCACTGAAGACTTTGAGCAAGGTCATGCCCAATGAAAGCACTCCTTGGTAGCCGGAATAGGGAGAAGTCAGAGACAAGAGGCGTGTAGGACACCATGGAATGGAAAAGAGCCCCTGCGTGTTGTTGGGATAGGGGACCTGGGTCCTAGTCCCAGATCTATGCTGACATGCTGTGTGACCACAGACGAGTCCCTTACCTTTCTGAGCTGGTTTCCTTTTCCATTTTCTCTTAAAGGTGCTTTCAGACCATGACTGAATGAATGGAAGTGGGGGAGGGGTGCAGGGGGAGGGACAAGATGTCACTTGGTTCAGTCAGGGTCTCTATTTTCTACTTTTCTTTGACCTTGAAGACCTGGCCTAAGGTGGACCCATCACCCACGGTTTACCTCATGCTTCAGGACCATGTGGCTCAGCCCTGGGGTGTGTCTACATCTCAGCTTCAAGCCAGAATTTATCTTACAGAAGAGAAAATGTGACTTTAGAGCCACTTTCCAGCTTTGGGGAGGGACTATGCCTCTCACACCTGCTTCACAAGATGAAAGGAGCCATTGAGATAACGTCTTTAAAGCACCTGGGGCAGTAGCTCTTGCCCTGCAGACAGAAAGTGCTCCACTGACTGTCTTGCTATTGTTGTTTCCTACGTGGGGACTCTAGGCTGGAAGCTCCTCAGAGGCTGGTGGCATTTATGTCCTCTGCAGGGCCAAGGGGCCCAACACCAGCTGGGCCCCTGGTCAGGATCTGACACTCAAGGGTAGTACAACACCACCCAGGCTTGTCATGGGGACTGTGACTTGGGCCTGCCTGGCGAGCAGCCCTGACACTCACCCAACCCTGTGTGGGTGCTGTGCGTCATTCCTATGGGACTGTCCAGCACACGGGTCCCCAGTCCCTTCCCAGACATCAAGTGTGACGGGCAATTCTGTACAACCCAACCAGGACCTAAATTCCTCTCCTGTTTCTGTTTAATTTTATATGATTATTTTTGGAGATTGGTAATATATTTAAATTCTTCAAAATTTAAAAGGGACCAAAAACAAACAAACAAACAAACAAACAAATAATGAATGAATGGGACCAAAAAATGTGCTATAAAAAATATCCCCTCCCACCCCAGCTCACGGCCCCTTAGTTCCACTTCCTGGAGACAACCAATCTTTCTTTCTTTCTAAAGCAATTTAATTTGCTCCCCTCTTACAAAAATCATAAGCATTCAAAGCAAAATAAAACCCCACCTTGGAATACACACAAAAGTACAAACCAAAAACCACACCCACAATCCCACCATCCAGATTTTCAGCATTTTAGTATATGTCCTAGAGTGTTTTCAACGCATATCCACTTTTCAAAAAACAACGAAAAAAAACACAGATGGGCATCACAATATTGACTTTTTAACATCTTGCCAGTGTCTCAGGAACGTTTCCTCACAGCTTCTCCCTCAAACAATTTTGAAAGCTGTGTGATCTTACACAGACACTAATTTATTTAGCTAGATCCCATTGGCAGGAATTTGGGATTTCTAGATTTCTCTTTTATAAGCAACATGGTGATGGGCCCTGGCATCTCACTGCCTACTTGTTTTCTTGCAACAAATTCCTATAACAGGAAATGCTGGGTCACAAGTTTTTAAGACCATGGAAACCCATCAAACCGCCCTCAAGTTCAAGACGAGTGTCCAATCCCAATCTGATTTCCTCAAGGCCAAGAAGTCTTGGTTCAAACCCCTCTCAACAGCAGCTATGTGTGTCCCTACCCCACCTCCACATCTAGACTAAGGGCAAAGCCATCTGCTGGGCCTGGTCACCTGCTGTGTTTACCCAGCCACAGGGAATTACCCGGGCCTGTCCCAGTCCTGGATGAGTCAGCTGACTTGGGGCCGGGCACCACCCTTCCCAGAGTAGGAGCCCAGATGAGAAAAGGGCCACCACCTTCCAGGGACAGAAACAGACTCTCAGCAGGGGCTGGAAAAGAACGAAGGACGAGCAGCAGCTCTTGGCCTGCAGGTAAGATTCGGGGCTGTATAGGCTGGGACTGAGATAAGCAAGACTTGCTGTCGCCCTGTCCTGACCCTCCTGGGACTTCCCAGGCAGTTCCCTCTCAAGGTGCTTCACTCTGGGAGCAAAATGTAAACTGGGGTTTCCTTTTCCGACCCCGGCCTGGGGCCAGGGTTGAAGATATTTATCCAGATGATGGCCCCAGGCTCCTTCTGCTATGAGGGTGCTCATGATGGGACTCACACTTTGCTCCTTGAAGTGGACCCTTGGAAGGCCAAAGAGAAGCCGATTTCCACAATGACCTGAGAGGGCAGCCCTCAGACTCTGTTACTTACTTCTCTGCCTGAGCTGTTTCTATCAACTTCCCTACCACAGCAAGGAAAACCTGCTGGGGAACTGGGCCAGCGGTTTAAGAACTGGTTTCCTTATTTGGAGACTAGAAATATCCCCACAAAGTCAGGAGAACTGAATCAGATAATGGACATAAGGGGCCATTATGTGCCCTCTACACAGAAAACGGTACTTAAAACGAGGCTGATGTGCTAGGCAGGCACTGCACTGGCTGCTTTACATACAGCGGTCCAAACTAGTAACAATCCTTATACCACCATCACTTCTCAACTGGGCTCCCTGCCTCCACCCTGGCCCCTCTATTCTCCAAATATCGGCCAGAGGGCACCTGCTAAAGTGAAGTTGGACCATGTCACTCTACTGCTCAAGTCTCCAGTGGGTCCTATCTCACTAGAGTTAAGTGCCAAGTCCTTGCCATGACCCACAAGCCCTCCAGGAGCTGACCCCTCTCGTGACTTTTCCATCCTCCTCTCCTGCTACTCTAGCCTCTGAAACACTGACTTGTCTCATCGGTCACATGTTCCCTAAACACAATAGGTACTCCCACCTCAAGGCCACTGCAGTGGCTATGCCTTCAGCCTGAATGCTCTTCCCTACTCTTTAGGCTTTTACTCAAAAGTCACCCATCACTCCCCCCATCCCCCAAGCAGTGAGGCTGTTCCGGACCTTGCAAGGCTCTCTACCCTCCACCTTGCTTTATCTTTCTCCCCATCACCTCCCACCATCTAACACAGCACTCACACTTATCTACCCAGCTATAAAGTAACACTCTTCAAGGGCAGATTTCTTTTGTTCACTGTCTTATTTCTGTACTTAGAACAGTACTGGGACTTAGGCGCTCAGTAAATGTACTGAAGGAATGAACAATAGATAGCTAACAATTACTGCTAACAATTATTGCATGCCCTTGATGTGCTAGATACTGCGCCACGGCTTTCCATACATAGCTTATCTCTTTTTAAGAATCAAAATCCACAGTGACTCTGATGAAAGTATTGTTTCCTGTATTATGAAAAAATAAATGACATTCAAAAGGGACTTGTCTATGCTTGCTCTCACAAGTCAGAGGCAGCAATCTGAACCCAGTCCTGCCCCGCCTCTCCTGGGCCTGGATTCAGGAGTGTCTGTACTCCCTGAAGAAGTCCACGGCTTTACTCCAGCAGGCAGTACACCCTGGAAGGAGGAGGTGGGTATGTACCGGTGGCCTAGCAACAGCCTCTTCTTTTCCAACTCACTATATCCCTGGGCTAATTTGGCCTTCCAGGAGCTATTCCTCTGACACTCTAACCCACGCTTCCCTCCCTCACAGTCTTCTGAACGATGGATGAGTTGTCCACAGGAACAAGTAGGAGTCCCCTTAGTTTCAGCTCTCTGGAACAAAGTGTTCCAGAGAAGTGTTCTCATTCCAAGTCCAAAGACGGGGGCTGACAACCCCTTTTCAGCCCTGCTTATCTGAGGGTCTGATTGCTGGTTTGTTGTGGGTGTTGTTATTTCTTATAATATCAAAAAGTACAGAAGCTCAGGAATGGGAATTCTTAAAAGTGCAGTAGGAAAGTTCCTCTGGGAGAGATGGGTTAGATGGGTTCTTTTCCTTTCTGAGGAGCTAATTAATTGCGGGACTCCATCAGCACCTGAGCAAACTCTTCCACTGTCAGATTGTAGGAGCCAGCCTTTCAAACTACCTCATTAGGGCAATGTTTTTTCTCCCTTTCTAGGCCCAGGGTTTTTCTTCAAAGGACTTTTGGGCTCTCTCTTCCCTGTATCTGTTTTTCCACTCCTTTAAGAAACAGTAACTGGATGCCTGCTGTGTGCCAAGCACTGGGCTCAACACTGGGGATTCAGAAATGAGCCACAAATCAGCGACATTCCTGACCAGAGAGGGAGACAGGCAAATGAATGCAACACAGCGGAAATTCAACCCAGGAAATGTCAAAGGCCTTGATAACAGTAGATGTTTAATTAATATTAGTGAAGTTAATGATGAATAGGTGAATCTGTGAGTGTGATCTAGAGAAGGGAGGTTGTAGTTGTGGGTATTTGGGGAAAAGCTTGGAATTGGAGGAGCTCACCAGATTAACTAGAGGAAGGGAGAAAGCATGAATGGCATTCAAGACAGAGGGAATAGCACTCACAAAAGCACGGAGGCATGAACGAGCAAGGTGAGTTTTAGGATCCGCAAGCACTCTGGAATGAATGAAATGCAGGGTGAAGTGTGGCCGAGGGAGGAGGTGAGACTAGAGAGGTACCAGGAGTCAGGTCATGGAGATTTGAATGCAAAGTTGAAGTGTGAGACTTTCCTGAGGTCGAGAGCTAGGTATGACTTCAAGAGCAGGAGCTGAGGATAACTCCCAGATTTCTGACTCAGACCATGAGTTAGATTTGGTGTGATCGCTGTACGTGGGCAGCAAAGCTGGGGGGGAATGAGTTCAGGAGATACTGAAGATCTGGAAGGCAGATCTTCCCTATCCCTGGAATAGCACACTCCGCTTCCACCCTCCTGAACCCTCCATACTTCACGGTCCATTCAGGGTCTACTTCCTTCCTCCAGTGGGGCTTGCTTCTTGGTTGCGCTAGCCTTTCGTCCTGCACTCCATAGGCCCAACTGCCTGAAACCCTTATAAAAGGTAGTGGGTCCAGTTTTCCTGTGGGAAGTGATCTGCCCGGCCAAGCACAAGTCCCCTACCCTGGGCAACAAAGGCTCAAATCAGTCAGTCATCCGAGTGGGATCCCAGCGTAAATCTGCGTGGAGTGGGGCAGGGAACTTGCAGCTCAGCACCGGGCCAAGAGTCAGGGCCAAGCAAGAAATTGGTTAGAGAGTGGGAGAAACTGTGACATCACAAAAGGTAGGAAATAGGGGGCTGAAGGTGCTTCCGAAACCGTAGGGTACGAGGGGGGCTTTCTTTTCAGTTAGAGCAACAGGCAGCGGGGAGCGCAAGCGGGTCGATTAATGCCCTCCTCCCCCTCCTTCAGCCGCCTTAGTACAGAATCTTATCAGTCAGCACTGGGCGGCTCAGCCGCACCCTCCTTCGGAGGCCGTAAATGGCCCTCAGGGGTCAGGGGAGTAGGGAGGCCAAGGGACACTCGCCCCTTTAAAGTTCAATTTGACTCGCGCAGCCTCCAGCCCGGTAGAGGGATGTGGAGCCTAACTGAGCCTTCCTATCTCTTAATCTGCTGCTTTATCTAATGTCTTGTGGGTGCCGGCGCCACCCACGCGCGCTAGAAGAAAGGCAGAGGCCAGGTGGACGCTAGTAACCCACCACGCCAACAACCGATACAGCGAGGAAACTTCCATGTTCCACCCCACAAGAGTGGGGCATCCTGGGAGCCGCTCGTAGCCGCGCGCAGGCCAGGTGGGCGAGATGCTCGCACTCTAGATGCCGCAGCGCGCCCTAGCGGCCTGGAGGCGTCTCTGCGCAGTCGCTGTAGCCCATAGCAACCGGGAGAGGTCGCTTCTGGCCGGGTTCCGAGGGATGGTAGGGTTGGAGTGGGAGTCGTTTGGAGTTCATGGAAGGATGTGACAGATTGGGAAACTGAGGCCTTGAATGAAGAACAGGCCCTAGGTGCCGTTGGGGCTTTTTCCGATGCCCCAGTGGATGGAGTTAATGCTTGGCTGCTCCCATTTCACAAAAGGGGAACTGAGGCTGAGGGAGCGGGCCGGTTCGTCCACGCCTGTGGTTCCCCCTGGGTAAAAAAAATTAATATGATGCCCTGTCTTTACTACATAGGAGAAATGAGGGCAATGAAAGTAATTTATAATAAGAATACGTGTTTCACTATGTAAAAGTTCAGACTGGATCACGTAAACCTGATCATGCTTGTACCTAACTTAAAACAAGTAAATTTGGATTTAATAGAAGACAATATTCAACTGAATTTTGTCAACAGTTTATATTTGACATCTTAAGTCAGAGGCTAACTATATTTGTATACAGACATGAAATCACTGTGACAGCTACAAACATATGGGTGTGTTCTGGTGAGTCACCTGTGGTGAGAAGGATTGACAGATTTTCCAAAATAGTGAACAAAATAAAATATAGCTTCCTTCAACCTGGTATATGCATTCCTGGATATTATTTATTAAAACCAGGGGAAACCGCATTGTTTTTGTAAGTAAGAGAGGTTATAAACAGGTGTTTTGCCTGCAGGAAGGCTTGGCAGTATACTAGAAGACTGTGCAGGACAGAGGACGGTTTTGTGGGGTGAACTGTTCCGTGTATTACAAGAGGTCCAGATCAGTGCTCCCAGCTTCCTGAAGGATAGTAGTGTCCTCTCAGTCTGTGATACTCAAAAATGCCCACACATATTTCCATTCCCTTTCTTGGAAAACCACTGATTTATTCAGTCAAATTATTTTTGTCAGCATTCATATGCTAGGCACTGTTTCAGTGGAGAGGCATAATGTGGTGAACAGGACAGTCACTGCCCTTCTGAGGCTGGGTCTAGTATGAGAAAATACCCAACTATTAATCATACAATATGATAAATAATTTGACAGTAGAGGCAGAACAAATCAGGATGAGGAACACAAGAAGACCCAGCTGACTAGCAGGGTGTCCCATGGCCTGAGAAAGCCAACGAGAGAGGTAGCATTTGAGCTGAGCCTTGAAAGAACATTGAATAGAGAAGGGTGATGTGCCTAGCAGAGGGACCAGCATGACTGAAACAAGTCCAGGGTATCTGGCACATAGTAGACACTCAAATGTGAATGAGTAGGTAGATAATTGAATGAGACGCAGAGCGTATTTGCTGGCAGGGAACCATTCCCCACTATATCATGAACTGCCCAAAGGCAGGGGATTATCTGCTTCTTAATTCTGCTCAGATCCCGAAACTGAGTTGAGACCCAGTGAAGATGTTACCGGAGAGTGGGGATCCTCTCCTGACACCTTGTCCAGGTTCTTGATGTCTCGAACAAAGAACTGAGCAAGACACTGAAAAACAGCAGAAAAGAAAAGCTTTATTAGAAAGGAAAGTATGCTTCCAGACGTGGAACTGGGCCTGAGCAAAAGAAGCATGACTCAAAAGGCCTGGTAACAAAGACTTAAGAGTTTTTATACCTTTTTGCTGCGGGTGGTTACTTAGCGTGGGCTTCCTTGATTGACAGCTAAGATTGACAGGACTCAATGATTCATCATTTGCTTTCTGCACATGTTCGTTCCCAGAATTCAGTCTGTTATAATGATATTAATGAACTTCTGGGCATATGCATCATATTATAATGATGGTATAATGAGGCTCAGGTGAGTGGAAGGTTGTTGGGGGTCTTCATTGCACAGGGGCGAGTGCTTGCTTGTTTCTTAGTATGAGTTTTAAAAAATGCTTTCTGGCTTGTTTAATTGTGGGCGGATTAGGGTGGATCCCTTCTAGGATAGGATGACCTCAGCGTCTTTCCAAGCAGACTCCTGCCTAACTCTTTTCTAAGAGCCATGAACCCCCTTATTATTAACGTTATTATTATTATTATTATTAGCAGAACACCATTTCTGCTAACAATGGGCCGATGACCCTTACCAATAAATAGCCAGAGGATCTGAGTCACCAGTTTCGGGCAATTGTCAGGATTTGAGGGAGAGGGCTTCCCCATCCCCACAAAGAAAGGAAGAAAGGTGTTTGTTTTAAAATTGGTTATTTCTGAAAGCGTGAGAAGAAGCAAACTGAAGGAATGAAGAAAGTGGCAGAAGGTCTGTGAAAAGAAATTCTCAGAGGAAATTTTATGTGATTAAACTAAACAAGATTGGAAATTTAAATGCCAAAAGTAAGCTAATGCAAAATTAAAATTACCTTTTAATGTTTCTTAGACTATTGGTCTGCTAATCTGAGTCACCAGTTTCAGGGCAATTATCGGGATTTGAGGGAGAGGGCCTTTTTCCCAAAGAAAGGTGGGGAAAAAACTTAACTAGGTTTACTAAAAAGATTAAGAACTCTGCAAGAGATGTCCCTTATCATTTCCTGCTAAAAGATTAAGAATTTTACGAGTGATGTCCCCTATCAAAGGTGGCAGTGGTGAAAGGGTCCCAGATACAAAGAAAGGGTTGTGTGGTCCTGGCCTGAGAGTGATTTCCAGGCAGTGGACCTCAGATTCTGCTCTCCCAGAGGGCAGCTGCTGAAATATAACTGCTCTGCTGCTCCAGTGTTGGAAAAAGCAGGGCAGGGGTGGCCTCTGATTTTCACATCTGCCGTTCATGAGTAATCCTGGTGGCGGGGCGTGTTTTTGGCAGATGGTACCTGCTGAGGTCTGTCTCAAGATAAAAATCTCCCAGAGCGTGTGCACAGTGGTGAAGGCCATAGGCAAAGGGGTCCCCCTAGTTGGTCTAAAGGAAGTCAAAGCCAATCTCCCTCTCCCCCTGGGATAATCCCTGTTCTCCTGAGATGATAATTTCTGCTCCAAAGGCCAGGCCAGAGCAAGGATCTGGAACCGCCTGCCTCTAGGAGCCAAGCAGGCAGTGTAAACTGGCTGGATAGGTAATAGGAAAAGGAAAAGAAAGAAGTAAAAGGAAAAGAAAAACTTCGGGAAATGAGAAAGCACGTGCGGCCACCTCAAGGAGTAGGCTGCAGCTCAGCCCTGGCCGAGTGTTGCCGTGCGCTGATACCTTCTCTTGCGTTGCCAAAAAAAAATTTTGTTTTCAATACGAGTTAGAAATGAAGAATTTTGTACTTGCATATTTAAAAATGTTGGCCTAATGAAAATAAAAAACAAAAAACAGGGCTGTGAAAGGTGAATAAAACACGTCTGTGACTTGCGGGCCTTGTTTCCATCCCAGGAAGGCAGGTTTCCTTAGGACATTGGAGCTTGACTTCAAAGGAGAAAAGTGAGTGCCCAGGCGGAATGCATTGCTTCTGGCGATATTATTGAGTTAGTGTCCATGATAGGGGCTAGGGCTTCCGCAAATGGGAAGGCCCAGTTCCTGCCCTTTCAGAACTCCCAGTCTAACAAGGTAGATGGACAAAGAGACAACTACGGGAATAGCGAATAATCTACAAGAGTAAGGACATGGGGTGAGGTGCGGGGAGAAAGCACAAATCAAGGCAGGCTTCCTGAAAGAAGAGTCCAGTGGTCTGGGACTTGAAAAGAATTAGGAGTTAGCCAGGCAGGAAGTGGAAGGGGTGGGGGGGTATTCCAGAGAGAGGGAATAACAAATGCAAAGGCCTGGAGCCATGACAAAATTCAGTTCAAGCATCTGAAAGTAGCTCCTTCCTCACATTTCATCCAGGAAGGAAATAAAGCACTACTTTCGAGGTAATTCTTTTGAATTTCTTTGGGTACCTTGCTCCAAGGTCCTAATGATTCTCCCTTGGGATAGTCAGAAAGTGTTTAATAAATGTTCGTGGCTCCCCCAAACCCCCATTTCCTCATCCTTTAGGAGCAATGCTGTGCTGAGTGTTTAAATTCTGCCACTGTGTGTGTGCCTGTTTTTAAGAATTTCCACTGGTCTTACCAAGATCAAGGCCGGAAATGGGTGATATACAGTAGGAATGCAAATGCTCAGAGGTGAAGAGGGGTTGGGAGGGTGGGGAAGGAATTCTAAAGAGCCTGCTACCTTTCTGTTGTGATATTAAGTCCCCACCCACTGTGTAGTTCTGGGACGATGCTACGTAAACCCCTAGTGATCAGACCTTGTGAGCCCATCTGACCTTGGAAACAGAGCAGGGAAGGACGTAGCCCCTAGTCCTGCTTTTCCTGGCCAGCATGTCCAGAGTGGTTCCCTGGGCCTGGGTTCTAAAGCCCAGAATCAGTTGAATGTGTTGGGATGGAATTCTGTAAGGGTGGAGACCACGGGCTTGGGGACCAAACAGACTTGGGTGCAAATCCTAGCTCTCCTGTTTCCAAAATGTAGATAGTTATGCTTTCCTGATATCTTTCTCATCCTGAGAGTTCTAAGTGGCACATGTGGGCTGGTAGTGGGATGCTTATGCCTTCTCTCTCACCCCTCACCCCTCCTTACCTTCTGTGCTCTGCAGGGTGTTCCAAGGCAGCCATGTCCGCCCTGTACCCATCTCTGGAGGACCTGAAGGTGGACCAGGCCATTCAGGTAAGCCGCCAGGCCCATGATGGGGCCTTCAGGATTACCCACAGGGTAACTAAGGGAGGCTCGTCTTAAAAGTTGGTGGGTGTTGAGGGCCCCAGGCATGCAGGTCACCACTGCAAGGCCTGCTGGGTGGAGCAGGTGCCCAGAGGCCAAGATGATGGAGTTACAGCAGGAGTGAAAAAGACCAAACAGCTGCAAACAGGCCTCTCTCGTGCCTGCTCTGTCCCAACTGTGCCTCCATTTATGTTTGGGTCGACCCCACACTGTAGGGCAGGTTTCCAGAATCAGCCCCTGAGCATGACGTTTGGCCTGCTCAGCCCCCAGAAGCCCCTTCCTTCTTCCATCCTACCTATGGTCCCAGTGGGATTTGAGAATTTGGGACTTTTTGACTGAGAACTTGGTTGGGAGTTCTGGCTGTTTCAGGGAGCAAAGGGAGCATGACATTTGGTGGGTTGTGGGGCCCTGGGAGAACCTCCCCCAGAAACATGGACATCTGCAGAGGGCACATTTACAGACAACCTCAAAAGTTCATGGATGCTCCCTTTGGGCCTACCAGCATACATAATGCCCTGACCCTCAAGCTCCAAGAGTTCCTGGGGGTCCCAGCCACTGCTGACCAGCACCCACTAACCCTCCCCAGGCCCAGGCCAGCGCCACACCCAGGATGCCCACCCTGCCAGTCCAGGAGACAGCTGTCTCCCAGCCTTCAGGTGAGTGAGTGGAGTGGGGGGTGTTCCTGACCAAGAGTGACCATTTTTGGGCGCTGGTCTCTCGCATGCCACTGCGCTGTGTACTTCATGCTCATTTTACTGTCACCAGAACCTTTTTGGGACATTGAGAAAAGCGTGGCTTAGTGAGGACATGAACTTCTCTGATTCGCAGCCACCTTCTACGTTGCCGCATGAGGGGACTAGTATGTTTGTGGTAGCCCCTAGAGTTGTCTGTGGCAGTCTTGATTCAGGTACTGTGGCAGCAAACTTGAACTCAGGCTCAACTCTTCCCCTCCCACCAGGCACACTCCCCCTCTCCCGCTCCCCAGCTGCATTAGGATCAGATGCCTGCCTCCCTCAGCCTGTGAATTTCTTAAGAGCCGGGCCTTACGGCCCCACCACCAGCCCTGAACTTTGTGTTGGATGTTTGGCTGAGCCAAAAAAAAGTCAGTTAAGTTGAACACCAAAGTGGTACCTGAGGAAATCGGTGTCCCAGGATACTCCTGGAAAAAGGCAGACCCCTGCCCCTCAGACCTTCTGAGGAGAGGACCACATCACCAGCAAGTGTCTCTGCCTTCCTCTCCCACAGCACCTGTGTTCCTGGGATACGCTATGTTCTCTGGAATAGACAGCATGTCCAGGTCCTATTTCGTAATAAAAATGAGCAACTACATGGGAGCCAGGAAGGTGTGGCTAAGCTCATGCTCTAGAGTAATCTCTTTCTTCTTCCTTCTTCATTTCCCATCAGTTTTGTACCCAAACCTGAAAGAATTGGAAAATTACATGGGTCTTTCCCTCTCCAGCCAGGAAGTCCAACAGAACCTGCCTCAGATTCCAGAAGGTGCCAGTGTAGGTATTCATCCCTTGACTGATATGGACACAGATGTTCCAGCTCTTCCTCTTTCTTGGTCTTGGCATGTAAATAGATTTGAA